GTCCCGACTACGCGATCGTCAGCATTCTTCGTCGAGATCCCAATCCCGCTACCGGCGCCACCCAGGCTGCTGGTACCACTTTAAATTCGCCGACAAGGCGACTAAGTGCTGCCCTCCATGTAACTTCAAGTCGGAACAACTCCAGAGGCAATCGGTAATGACGACCGACGATTGCCCCTCTTCAACTGGTCGCCTGTTCATCACCGATCGCAAATCCAAGACACAGTTCCTGGTCGACACTGGGAGCGACCTCTGTGCCTTCCCGCGGTCGCTGCTGCGAGAGCGTCGTGCACGGACTACGTATCAGCTAAGTGCCGCTAATGGTTCTTGTATAAACACTTATGGTTATGTTCATTTACAACTTGACTTTTGTTTACGTAGAACTTTTAAATGGCGTTTTGTTGTTGCCGATGTGACTAAACCTATTATAGGTGTAGATTTTTTAAATCATTACAATTTAATAGTCGACTGTCGTAACAAACGCATAATAGACAATACAACATCTGTAACAGCTTGTGCGTTGCGAGTTAAACGCAACGACATTTCGTCGGTCAAAGTCCAATCGGGTGACTCGGGTTACCATAAAATTTTGTCGGACTTTCCCGATATTACCCGACCATCCGGCACGCACCGTATCATACCACACAACACGGTACACCACATTCGCACTACACCAGGCCCACCAGTTTCTTGTTCACCTCGTCGCCTCGCTCCAGATAAATTAAAAATCGCCAAAGAAGAATTCCAGGCTATGTTAGAATGCGGTATCGCTAGGCCGTCTGAAAGTCCTTGGTCGTCACCGTTACATTTGGTACCCAAAAAGGACAACGGTTGGCGTCCGTGTGGAGACTATCGGATGTTAAACGCCAGGACAATTCCTGACAGGTATCCTATTAGGCATATACAGGACTTCGCTCACAGTATAGCAGGGTGTAAAGTATTTAGTACACTGGACCTAGTTAAAGCGTATAACCAAATTCCTGTGAGTCCTGAGGACATTCCTAAAACCGC